TCACTTCTCGAGTGGGTTCTTTCTGATTGATCTAAAGAACATAGAGTGTTAACAACTAGTATTTTGTTGAGGACAAAGGTGGTTGCGGAAGAGGAAAAAATAGAAAATTTTTAAGCTTACCCATTTTGGGCTCTTAGATTTATGAAACGGGACAATTTTTCTATTTGTTCATCCACGAGTGTTGGCCAAAAACGTCTGGGAAGCAAAAGTAGAGAAATTTAGACTTAGAGTTAAAGAAAATTTGTGGAATGTGGGTCCTGTGAATCCTGCAAATTTTGGCAATATGGACGAAATTCCCGTTAGCTTTGATCTCCCTGGTTCAAGGACTGTTAATTTAAAAGAATCGAAAGAAGTTTCCCTAGCTACAACCGGACATGAAAAGTTGAATTTTACTCTTGTGCAAAGTGTGACTTCGAATGATGGGAAGCTTCTTCCCTTGGTAATATTTAAGAGAAAAACAGTGCCAGAGGAAATTTTTTTGAAGACGTGATTGTTACGAATGAGAAGGGATGGGTCAATCAAGATATAATGAAAATGTGGATTGAAAATGTTTGAAAACAAAAAAGTCAGGCCTTTTTCAATCCAAAATCCGTTGCCGTACGCATAATACCGAAAATATGAAAGGGTTGGTAGCCAAGTATTCAGAATTGGCTATTATTCCGGGTGGAAAAAGATTCAGCCTCTTGATTTATGCGTTAATGAATCTTTTAAGTCAAAGTTACGTTCCATTTGGAGAAGTGATTAATGACTAGAATTAAAGACTATAGTAAATCAGGAAAGATTAAAAGGGTATCATATAAGGAAATATGCATGTGGATCGTTGAAAGCTGGCAAGGTGTTAGGGTATATTGTGAAAAAAATGGGTTTTTTCAAAGCATCAGGCGATGTATTATAATGTCAGAAACAGAAGATGACGATGGGCTAATTTCAGAAAACGAACTGAATGATGTACCTGAAGAAATTGTAAATGTTCTTGATTCAGATGAAGAGTTTTATAGTTTTGAGTGACTTTATTGTAATTCGAATGTGTAATAAATGTTATTTTTCATTTTATTTTAATCTTGTTAATTATATTAACCCTTATATTCACTGATATTGCAATACATACACGTTTTGCGACTAATTTATTTTAACAGTAAACGCAGTTTAAAGTTTCCACGTATGTAGGTGACTTGAAAAAATTTAAAATTTTTTGTTTTTCATTGCATAGCACGCAAGTTGTTTTGTTACGACGACTTTTTTTATCGATAGCGCGCGCGTTATCGATGGAAACATGCAGTAAATTTAAATTATGATGTATCAGTTGCAGTATCGAAAACTCCACTCATGGAGTCTACATCAAAACATCACAGTTGTTTTCGTTTTCTCGCTTACGGATCATGGCGTTTTGGGATTAAGCATTTCTTTGTTCATCCCAATTAAGGGATGCGGTCTTGCATCTTATGCACTGCAGGCGCTTAAATGTCATGGAGCTGTTGGTCTGCTTAAACACCCCTAGTACACTAGAAGTGGGAGGTGGGCGGGGCAGTGTAATATTGCTGTACTTCCTAATGTAAGATTTTCGTCTGTTTTACGCACCGCAGCATCGGGGTAAAGTAAGAAATGAATTTTTCTTTCTTTACACTGTTTTCACTGTTTGACTTTCTGTGTGGACAGTGATGAGAAATGCTTGTAGCGGTAATCGACAGATGTGTTTCATCAGAGAAAAATTTTGTTACAGTTTTCCTTGACTTCTCAAAGAGTAGTGGAATTTCCTCTGAAAAAACCTTCCTTCTCAAAATTCTGCATTCTCTGAGTTGAGTAAATATGAAAATTATATCGCTATTATCTTTAGAAGCTAAGTTCGCAGTTGGCAGCGGATCGAAGTTGGTGTCGGTTTGTTTTTACGAAAAAGAGAACAACTGGTGGATATCGACGCAGATCAAGAAGTCTATTCGCTCTACGGTAAACAGCATCGATTGGCATCCTAACAATGTTCTGCTGGCCGTTGGTTCCTGCGATTTCAAAGTATGCACAGAAGTTTTCTTTTGACTACAGTTACAACTATACCAACACACAATAGCAATGGTTAGCTACTTTTTTCAAATGCCTTTTCTTCTTTTCAGTTGTTACATACCAATATTATTAAAATTTAGATTTTGAATGCAAATGGCTTTTGGCGCGATGCAAGTTTGTGTCTTCCGTTTTCTTTCCTCTTTTCGACTTCCAGCACAAAATCAATCATCATGGATATTTTCTCGCCGCTTCTCCTTTCTGGTCGCAGATGCAGACCCGTCAGACATAGTTTCCGATCCTGTGCCAGAGTCTGAGTTTCGCCGAAGACAGTTGGTGTCTGGAACAGACTCTTTCAAAATATTTGCACCTGGTTTATCTTGGCCATCCTCTGGGCCTTCTGCTGGTCGGTTTCCCAAGAAAGAGTTGCTTCGCCTTCCTTTCTGGAGGCATTCACAACACACGCCCAAACCATCACTGTGTCTTCTCAACCTGGAGAGGCAAATTCAGTACACCAACGCTCTTCCAGATGTCAGTATTCCGGACCATGTCGAGACGCGTAAGGCCAGCGACTCTTCTAAAAAAGCCCATTTCAGCAGCCTGTACCCGGGTTCGAAACTTTTCATCTGTGGTCCACGACTCATGACCTTAGGTAAGCACCGAGTGCTTAGTTTTCAGACTGAGCTCTGCTTTATTCACAGTGGATAGGGCTTTTCACACAGAACGCCACTAGTTACTCCAATTCGCCGGTGGATCTCTTCTTCAAATTTTCCATCAGTAATAGATACGATTCCTAGGTACTTCAACTACTCCATCTGCTCCACTGCCTTTCCGTTAATCTGAAGAGAGCAACGGGCAGGAGAACGAGCAAGCACTAGGCTTTTCGTTTTAGATGCGTTCACACGCATGCCGGTCACGTTGCACTCGGCTGCGAACCTTTTAGGAAGCACTGAGAATCAGTTTCACAAGATATTAATATAATTGGGTCGTCTGCAAACAGCAACCTTCTCGTCTTCACATCATCATTACACTCATCGCATTGGCAGCTCCTGACTATTCTATCCATGTACAATACAAACAGGTTAGGGGACAGGACGCAGCCTTGGCGGAGACCAGTGCGAACGTTGAATAATTTCGATTTAACGCCATATACTCTGGCGCAGCACATGCTATCAGAATACGGTGATTGGCAGCTAGCCCTTGACAGCTGGCCATCTTTCTAGTGTGCTCGAAGGCATGACCACAGACGGTTTCTAGGGATCCGGTCATAGGCTTTTTCTATGTCAACAAAACACGTGTACCAAACGGGCGTACTCCCACGATTTCTCAAAAATCTGGCGCAGGGCAAATATATGGTCAGACGTGATTCGACCGGCCCAGAAGCCGTACTGCTCTTCTTGGATCTTGAGGTCGACTGTTTCACGGCACGTCCTTTCTAGCACCTTTGCGTAGACTTTACCTGGGAGACTCAATAGCGTTATGCCGCTATAATTTAGCATTCCTTGTGGCCTCCCTTGAATACGGGTACAATGACTCCCGTTTTCTGCTCCGCTGGTGTCTTTCTTGCAGTCATCGCAGTTTGACAGACACGTGTTAGCCAGCACATGCCTTGCTCAATGCCTTGAGCATCTCAGGGCGGATTTCGTCAATTCCGGCAGCTTTTCCATTTTTCAAGCTTTTCACAGCTTGTGTAATTTCATAATAGTAATATCCGTACCCTGCTCTTCAGGCGCTTCTTCCTGCGGCTGCGCGGGGTTAAGGAGTTCCTCAGTGTACTCCCTTTATCGCCGAAGAATGTCATCCTCCTTGGTAAGAGAGTGTCGAGACCTCTCATTCAAGACTCCGAGACTATCGATAGCTTTTCACCTCTAAGTCGACTGATGGTCTGCTACGATACTTTGTTTGCCGTTACAGATTCTACTGCAACACCTCACCGAACTTCTACCAGGAAACAGCTTTGGCTTTCGACACTGCTTTTGCTGTCGCCTTGCGTGCCTCGACATATTGCACGCGAGTAGAAGGCTATTTGTTTCCAAGCCGTTTCTTGAACGCTGCCTTCTGTTCTTTAACTACCAGTTGTACCTCTCGTGTCTACCAGGAAGATCTTTTCTGACTTTCTGGCAGCAGGCTAACCGGTTTCAATCCGCAGCATTACTCGGCAGCCTCGAGTGTGCCGCTTATAGTCTTTAAGTCTCATTCGGTTTCCGTATCTGTTCATCATCGGGACCTGTTCAGACTATTGTGCGATGTTGTTTGCAAATTTCGCTCCCGTGTTCACCTAAGATAATGTTTCCTATTTGATTCTCCGGTTGCTTCTGCCACCAGATCTTCCTGTGGGACTCCATTTCTTACAGTGCAGCGTGCCAACAACAATGTGATGATCGTTTGATAGCTCTGCGCCTCTTTTAACAAGAACATCCATTAGGTCAGACGATACGATTGTCAAATCGACCATCGTCTTCTGTGCACAAGCTTCCCGGTACCAGGTCTGATGCACTTTTCGATGCTCGAAGGTGTTCATAATAGACAATCCGTTGTTTGCACAAAACCGCAACAA